ATGAAAGAGAAGATCCACCTGTTCTGCCAGAAATCAGAGTTGGTGGAGAAGAGCATGAAGAGCTTCTCAGGTAGGAGCTTGGGAGAAGATGGGAGGCACCTACTCACTTCCTTACTGAGATCCAGGTATCCCTGAGCCCTCTCATTTCCTGTCTCTGTCTCCTACAACCTTGTTGAGCTGCTTTCAGCCTCTCCCTGACATATCCCTAGCCAAAGGACCTAACTGGAGCTTCTCTCTGCTCCCTTTCCCCCATTTTAGATAAACTGAGTACAGAAATGAAAACGTTCAGTGGTGAGTACAGTGGTGGTTGTGTGGGCTGACTAGGAATTACTGAGATGTTCCCTTGCGCTGTTGATTTGGGTGCACTTGTAGACGAGAGAAAAGCACCTTGGGCAAAGGCAGGAGAAAGGTTGTGGCAGGCCCCACAGGCTCCATGCCCAACTCATTGACTGAGTTAACTCATTAGACCACAGTCTCCAAGGCAGACCTTGGAGTAATGGGGTTATACCCAAGCATAGGATGCAGAGCTTTAAGCAGGGGGATCCTTGTCTTTCTTTGTTGTGGGGATAGTGTCATTTTGGCCCCTCAGAATGGAAATGCTCAGGACTTTTCCCCCTCCATCTGATTTTTCTCTGTAGTTCTGGAACTGACTGGCGTGCAGGCATATGCTGGTAAGTGCCCAGATCAAGACAAATGGCCTTGGCCTGCTGGGTCTCTGTGCTGTTCTCACCGCGTTTCAGAAGATTACCTGTCTGTTTCCTGGAGGTGGGGGGAATCCTGTGAGGATGTTGCCCACGGACACTCAGCTGGGTATTCTAATTTTCTCTGCAGTTAATGTGCTTCTGGATGAAGAAACCGCCCACCCCAACCTCATCTTCTCTGATAATCTGAAGAGTGTGAGACTTGGAAACAAATGTGACCAGCTGCCTGATGGCCCAGAGAGATTTGATAGCTGCATCTTTACCCTGGGCTCTTCCAGCTTCCTCTCTGGCCGCCATTATTGGGAGGTGGAGGTTGGAGACAAGACAGGGTGGGTCCTGGGAGTCTGCAAGGCATCCCTGAGCAGGAAGGGGAGCATAACTCTGTCACCAGAGAATGGCTACTGGGTGGTGATGATGATGAAACGAAATGAGTACCAGGCAACCACCTTTCCTCCGACCCGCCTGCAAATAAGGGAACCCCCTAAGCGTGTGGGCATCTTCCTGGATTTCACAGCTAGAGGCATTTCCTTTTACAATGTGACAGCCAGATCCCACATCTATACATTCTCCCGTTTCTCTTCCTCTGGACCTCTTCAACCTATCTTCAGCCCTGGGGTACATGATGGGGGAAAGAACATGGGTCCTCTGACCATCTGTCCAGTGGGTAGACAGGAGCCTCACTGAACATCCATCGCTGCATCTCTAACCCAGCTTCTGGCCTCTGTATCTTGCATTCATGCACTCAACAGTACTGGAACACCTACTGGGCACCAGCTGCCACAGGAAATGTAATGAATAACAAAAGAGTCACGGGGCCCAAGGAGCTTACCCAGGCGTAGCAGAGGCAAACTAGGTATGAAAATATTGTTTTTCTTTTTTTTAAACATATTTTTTATTATAAAATTGTGGGGTACAGTTAAGGGTTAGGTATACAAATGTGCATCATTCAGGCACCCTTGTT